TTTTCAGATACACTATTCAGAGTGCCATTCCACTTCGCTCAGTCATTCAACATCAAGGGAAAACTTGGATATTTTTATAAACTATTCAGAGTGCCATTCCAATTCATTCAAGATAAGTGAATAGTTTAAATGGAAACAATTTTCAAAATGATAAATGGGTTGACCCACATCATGAACAAGTGTCCCAAAGTGGCTGCCTATATTGAGACACGGTATAGGAGGTATTGTACCTGAGGTATTGTTCCCATCTAGGTCCCATCAGTACAACGCGTGTCCCGTCCATTCATACAGCCGGATGTCGCATGGGGCCCACATTATATAGATACTAACGTATTATCTCTAAACAGGGTGCTGTAATTTCAACATAGGTCACCGTAAGGGGGACGGTTATTTTTGTAGTGAGTGAGTTGGGTTTAACGCCGCTTTTAACAGTATTCCAGTTATATCGAGGCGTGTCAGCTTAATGTGGGGGAAAAGTGATGCAGGTCTCAGACGTTTACCACTTCGGTGAAACCCACGAGCACGGGCATGGTACTGACACCTAGAAACATAATTTGGGCGAACCGGGATTCGAACCCACAATCATCGGTTTCTGGAGCTGGGCGATACCAATGTCATCGTATAGAACAAACATTTGACAACAAATAAAGAAGATATTGGTGAGTTGTGATCGACATTTACTGACAAAAACATCATGGTAACACAGGTACTGTTTTTGACCTTAGACAATACCTAAAATAAGTATGGAGCTGCAGGATTAAGTAAACGAGTTACATTTGATGTTTCATGTGAAAATGTTCCTTAAAGTCTCTACTTGATATGACACGTGAAACAGATCAGTAGCGGGTATAACCGCCACGTGCCCGGATGACGCATTCCACCCTACGTCTCATGCCTCCAGTCAGACGTTGGATCTGTTGATGGGTCAACAACAACCACTCTTGATGCAATGCTGCTTCTAATTGGCGTAAATCTTGTACACGAGGATCTCGTGCCTGTATGCGCCGCCCCGGACTATCAAATCTGGGCTCATTCCTGGCCAGGGTAGAGTCGTTATTGCATTGGCCCTCACGTAATCCACGACTGCATGCGAACGATGAGGCCTGGTATTGTCATCCATGTACTGAGGTTGTGTAGCAAGAGGGTGGTTGTCCAAATGAGGAACGACGACTGGCCTCAAAACGTCCAGGATGTACTGAGCCCCTGTTAAGTTGCCCCTTATGGTGACCAAATCAAACCTTCAATCATGAGAGATACACCCCCAAACCATCACCGAGCCCCCGCCGTATGCAACAGTCGGTTTAATGTTCCTGGGGATGTAGGCCGTGTTCCGGTGCCTCCAAACTCTCGTTCTTCTATCAGTGACGTGGAGCAGAAAGCGACTTTCGTCTGACCAATGGATCCGTCTCCAAGTTCTCAGATTCCAGTTCTGTCGCGCAATACACCATGCTAAACGAGCAGCTTTGTGGTGATTTCTCAACAAGGGACGCTTTATGACTCGTCTAGCCCTCAGTCCTGCTACTTTCAGCCGGTTCCTGACGGTTCTGGTGCTGAAACGACGATTGGGCAGCCACAGCTGTTTCAGACGAGTACTTGTTAAAAAAGGTTCTCGGCGTATGAGACGAAGAAGTTCACTGTCTTCGCGATGTGTCATCACAGGAGGTCTTCCAGATCTTGGGCGGTCCTGTACATCACCGGTCTCAGCATGTTTCTCGACTAAACGGCTTACGACAGTGTGATGACACCCCAAATTCCGACCAATGGCATTACAAGACATTCCTGCGTTATGCATGCCGATTATTTGCCATCTTGTGGCGTTTGATAATTGCCTTCGTGCCATGGTCACACAATGTCATGGAATCACTGTTTAAACCCGAACTTAAGAAAGCAATTTTAACTTTTGGATATACCGCTATTAGAGATACTCGCGGGTAGCATGCTGCACGGGCTACCATGCATGGCAAGTGGGCTTTCGTCACGCATGACTGATTCCATCATCTCGAAAAATCATAATTCCTCCCGTAATTATATACTTCATGACTGTTACAAACATTGGGACCAAACAATAATGAAATATATTAGGGTGTGCTTAACATTTTCCTTTGTGTATATATTTCCTAGCAATCGACCGTGGTAATCAAATGGTGAATGAGTACATTCCCCTCTTTGTCTCGATGACTACATTTACGTACGAAAATCAATCAGTATTGGAGAGAGTAAATTTGAAATCATTAAACTTGCCTTTAATCAAAGAAATTCAACACCAGATTATATGTTGTATGTTGAATTTGGGCGATTTTCAATACGTACAATCATATACAAGGGAATGATTTCGTTTTGGCACAAACATATATGTCATAATCGGCCTGTTATAATCTTTTTAACTCTAATATTGAAATACATGAATTCTATAAATAATACTAATAACAATAGAAACAACTGAATGGATTTCATTAAGAGCTTGTTAAACAAGTGTGGCTCTGAAACATTGAGAAGATTAATGCAGCATGTGGTTTAACCAGATCGTCGCACTGCATTAAAAATACGTTTTGGTCTGCTGGAGACATGGTAATAAACGAGGGGTTAATGAGGGATACGTTCTGCCAAAGATTAAGTCTTAGATCTCTATAACAGTCACACCCTACCAAAAAGTGAACTTAATTTTCAACAGTTTTGCCATTACATAATTTACAGACGCGTTCAGAAACAGGAGTTTTCGGGCGTGTATAACGGCCTCTGTCTAGTTCTGAAGGTAAAGTTCCACAGCGAAGTTTAGCTAAGTGCTTCGTCGTGATCTATCCAGATATGACGAACATAAAATGGAACATTCAGTGTATTTTTAAACAATCTTAACATTCTAAGCTTATTACCTGTAGTATGGCAAGTGTCACTGCAAAGTCCATGAAACCAGTTTTCCACATCAAGTTGTATCAATTTTTATCTACTTTCGGAATGACAAGCTATTAATATCCGTGAGAGAGCTGAATTCAACTTCATCCAGAAACGTACAACTTCAATTTTGTGTTAAGTAATAATCGATAACCAATCCATCTCACCTCTTACAGCCAAATTAGGAGTGTTTTTTCCTAAACCTAAGATACGTCCACAACCCGCAGTGTGGTCACTGGAGCAGAAACTTCACTCGCGGAATAAGGGGAGCTGAGCTGAGTGAGCTCGGGGGTTATCGACAGTTGTTTGCATTCAATGCTCCAGAACGGTCGACGTGCTGACCCTTTAAAGGTTCTGCCTCGGAGCATTATGGTTAGAGAGGATACGCCGAATGTTTTCTGAATATATCAAACAGACGAAGCAGGTAGAATTTACTTTAATTGTATTATAATTCACATTGTGAAACAGGCTGTTGCCAGTTTAATCAACGTGCTGACTGCATATCGCTTCAATACATAATTAGATGAAATGTGAGCATTGTACCTTATATCCCTTCCTTTGAAAAATCAATATGTTAGCCTTTCGAATGCGAAGTTGGTGAAATGTATCGTGTTAATTGCCTGTAACAAATACTCTAAGACTTATTTCATTTGGGGAATATGATCACGTGTTCTAACCTTAAACCGTCTACTTATGTCTCCGTTTGAAAATCTAAAAACTTTATCCCTTAAACACGTATATTTCGAGCACTGTTCTCCCTGTCCTAGTCTAGGACTAGATGTTAATCAAAGTTCATAATACAAGTTGCGATTATGTGTTTGACGTGTCTTTTAGGGACCGACAATTTGATATTCTGAAAAAAATAGTTACGCTATAATCTGCTGAAAAACGTTGCATGGTGAATTAAAAAGAATATTATATGGGTTCCTAGTTTCAATTTTTTAAATAAAATATGGTTTTGCAGCTGTAGCAGAAAAGATGATCGCCCTCAAAACCAAATCCCAGGCCTAGAATACTAGTACGAGATAGCTGGTATGTCAGTAACGACACAGCTAACACACCAAGGACACCAAGAATAGACTTCACACCATCAATGTGGAGATTCGAATCCGGCTCTTCGGCGTGGCGAGCCAAATTTTAACCACTACCATAAACCTCTGATGACGTCATCCTATTGTTAAGCACAATACCTTGTAAGGCCTCGGCGATATCAAGTTTGAGATCATTAGGTCTATCTGGGATTAAGAGACCTCATATAAGGTCATTTGGAGTTACACAAAGTTGGTTGGTTGGTTTGTTGTTTAACGCCGCACTCAGCAATATTCCAGCTATATGACGGCGGTCTGTAAATAATCTAGTGATTAATATCATGAGCATCGATCCACGCAATCGGGATTGATGACATGCATCAACCAAGTCAGCGAGCCTGACCACCCGATCCCGTTAGTCGCCTTTTACGACAAGCATAGTCGCCTTTTACGGCAAGCATGGGTTGCTGAAGACCTATTCTACCCCGGAATCTTCACGGGTCGAGTTACACAAAGACCTGTCCCAACTGCATTTAAACCAATGGAACATACATGCTATGCTACCCCCTGGTAAGAGATTTTACTTTTTAGAAGAAAGATCTGATGAGTTTGGAAGCGGATGAAATTTTAACTTTGTGTTTCCAACGTCCAATTTTCTAAAATCGAAGACAAGAAATCTTTTTCATCAAGTAATTTCACTTGTCGTGTTAAGTTTTGTAACCCACTGCGACATCGGGGCAGGTGATGAGAGGTTGATCAATTTGAGATGTCATGACTTAGTTTGTCTATGCTGCACGTGTTTTTCTCTCTCACACCGTCTGATCGCATTCCTTTATACCGTGACACACTGTATTGTTTCACTATAAGATATCTCGATGTGTTCTTATTATTTATGTTATTTCTGGCATTTAGCAAGTTTATAAGCCAGAGAAAACACCACCCTCGGTATTTCTAGCGATTAATTCATTACAGATAAAAATCGATCGAAACACCTCATCATTGTAACCATCATGAATAAATATGAACAACAAAGATTTCACAAACAAACACATGTACATGTGGGAAGTAATTTTACGCCCAAACCTGATGTTGATCCAATTTTGCAAAATCACCGGGAGCACGACCTTGGCATGAACATTTTCGCAATATCAAGCGACGAAGTCCGTGATGCACGTGACATGTGTCCCCGGACAGGTGTTCTTCTTTCTTCGGCAGACGTGAGTTGTAAAATGCTTCTTTAAGACAAGTAGTGGCAACTCAAGCATGTAGGCCACTTCAGTATTACTTGTCCATGTTTATGGGCCTATAATGTGAAACCCCCGTCGCCTTATCAAAACAAGAGTGTGTTTTGCCAGTTCTTCATTTCCTCTGCCAATAATTTACCAAATTACTTTGACGAGCTTCCACGTAGGTTATTTCCCAATAGTTACACGTCCCATTTGTTTATTTAACAGGACTAAAAGGGGTACAAATTTTGACAATGACCCACATAAAGTTCATGATTACTTTTCTAATTTTCTTGGGTCCTTCAGGCATGACCTATGTTGCTTTAAGGTGTGTGACAAATGGGACGTGTAACTAATGGGAGGCTACCAATGATTCAGTCGCAATTGCCAGACATCCCATTTGTCAATCATCAGACAGACCAGTCAAGTGTGACCAGTGGTCTCACTGGTCTGGTCTTACCTACTGGTTACTGAGCTGTTCCTTGCTGTGGGCAGACTAAGCTACCGCAACTCGTTGATATAATAGGTGAAGCAGTTCAACCATGAAACTTGAATGTGGCTTTTCTTGCAACGAAGAAACACCCGGTTTGCACGAATCTGATTAACCCGTACATTTTTGGTCTTGCTCTGAACAAGATGTGATAGCAGACGACACATCCTACCCCTATGTGGACAGACGACACTGACTTCTCTCGCTCTCTCTCTCTCTCTCTCTCTCTCTCTCTCTCTCTCGATCGAAAACTTTGGCAGTTGCTCTATTACAATCTAATTTACATAAGCGTCTATACAATCTCAACACACTTCTCTATGGGGGTTAAGGGCCATCTTTGTCTTCTGTCTTTGTTGTTTAACGCCGCACAGCCATATGACGGCGTTCTGTAAATGATCGAGTCTGGACCAGACTATCCAGTGATTGACACCATGAGCATCGATCCATGCAGTTGGGATACGATGACATTTATCAACCAAGTCAAGCCTGACCACCCGATCCCGTCAGTCGCCTTGTTCAAAAAACAAATATTGCCTCCAAGTTTATTTAGCTGTCCTTGCAGACGTTAGTCCAGTCTCTTGTCACGCTCAGTTGGGTTAGCGAGCAAATCGACTCACGGTAGCTAGTGAGTCCTTGCGGCCATTGTCAGACAGCCGAGAAGAAGCCAGAGATCAGTGCCCCTTTAAAGTCGTATACATGCATTAATTAACAACAAAACACACGCCAGTTTGGCTGCAGCTCTTTATTGTATACCTTAGTTATGATATACGTCTTCTCATGCTTCGATCCTCCGACCAGTCGAAATTATAGTCCATTATAAGCAATTTTTGAATCCGCGAAGAAAATGCCCATCCATATTTCAAGAGTTTCAAACTTGGAGTGTTTTTTCCCTTTAATTACATTAAGAGCACTGGACGTGCTATAGAAGGATACAAATGCAAATGAAGCAATTATTGTGTTAATATTTGGCACAAGAGTTGGTAGTTATAAGCTGCATAGTACCAACATCACGATAATAGGACATGACCCCCCCCCCCCCAAAAAACAAAAAAAAAAAAACAAAAACAAACCAAAACAAAACACCAAAAAAAAAGAAAAAAAAAAGGGGCTTGGGTAAGTATCTAGGAGAAATTCTCCTTACGTTTATACATGTAGGATACAGCTGCGGTATGCATCGCACTGCATTAAGAGTGAGTGAGTGAGTTGGGTTTAACGCCGCTTTTAACAGTATTCCAATAATATCGCAGCGTGTCAGCTTAATGTGGTAGGAAAGCCCGAAGTGATGCAGGTCTCAGACGTTTACCACTTCGTTGAAACCCACGAGCACGGGTATAGTGCTGACAAACCTAGAAACATAATCGGGGTGAACCGGGATTCGAACCCACAATCAAAGGTTTCTGGCGAGCCCAAGGGACGCAACTCTGCACAGCGAATCGCGGCCAGCCGTGCCCCCAGGAAGTCAGTGACGTTGTGAAGCTCTTCACCTGTTGTTATAATATAATCAACCACGGAACGTCCATGATTAACATAAGTAACATCCTGATCACCAATCCGCCCATTCAACAAACAAAGTTTACAGTCGACGAGGTTATTCGACAAGGCCGCCATATCTGTAAAGTAACAGCGCCACCTCTTTTAATGTATCCTCTCTCGGCACCAACATGGGCGCTGCAGTTCCCGCATATCCACGAAATTCCATTGTTCTGATATTCATACAACTTTTCTAACAGATTTTCCAGAACATTCTCACCATCGTTTTCTTTCCAAACGAACCTCCTGGAGGTAAATAAATTACATATGCATAAAACTAAAATCCACGCAGGATCTGCAATAGAAGAGAGATGAGACCAGAAAATGACGTCAGATTCAGCATCTAAAATATTAACCCATAACTGTTTTATAAAGAGTTCTTAAAAAACTCACCACCTCCACCCTCGGATGAACATGACGGTGGTCTATATTCCCATACCAGGTATATCCGTCCACCGATGTATATACTCAAGATTAAAAAAAAACTCGCTCATATTCAGAAAAGATCACATTCTAAGTTGGGCAAAACGGACTCCATAAATTGTTTTTTACTTGTTTTCCGCCTGGACCAGTCACCAACGTTCCAGAAATCAAGCCGCACGTTGATCTATTCATTGTTTTTCACATGTTTGGCCATGGAAACGGAAGTTCGTACTCTTGCCAATCTCGTTGATCATCGTCTGCAAGTTAGTTTTTCAGATTTTTCTTGTTCTGAGTAACTTCCTGTTATGGTCCAGTGTCACCACAACTATGCCCGGTGTGCCGTCCCGCCGAGTTCTTCTCTCAACTCGTGTAGCACGAACAACTATCAATTTCAGACCGTCTGTTATGAGTTTCTTTACACGTCACTGCCCTGAGCATCGAGGGGCAACTGGTAAGTTTCTCAGAACCACACGGCAAACGAGTTTACTGTCTTGACTGGACTTCACGTCGTCGGAAAACATACTTCCACCATGTCGTTCTGGGATTGTTCCAGTAATTTCATTTTCTCCGTCAGACTTGCTAATTTAACGTCAAATTCTCTTTTCATATTTTCACTTTCCTGTCTAAGCACTGTTGTTAGACGTAGAGTAACTCTCGCCTCATTTTCAGCAAATTGTTCACTAACAAAGGTTTTCATGTTGTTTTTTGCGGCAAGAATGTCACAGTTCACGGCTTGTGTTGTTCGGGGTGTGCACGGACTGCACGGATGAAGCACAAAGCTAAGCTCAGCTCACTCCCCTCTACTGGGCCCAAAAGACTCGCTCAAAGCTTAGATTACTCCCCGTTGTGCTCAAATACAGCCCTGGGACTTCTAGTGACGCTTTAACAGTTTAATGTATATAACATTATTGATCCGACTGGGTCAGTGCTGATGCACGTAAGGGTCACTTCAATACAAAATCCTTTAGTGTGATTGTGTGTGTGCCTGTAGGAATGCGAAATGTAAAACACCAATGGATGGAACTGCTGGAATATTTCTCGACATGAAGGGAAAGATGACAATTGGAAAGTTGAAGTCCTCGCTCTTGCCATACAGTCTTGTGGGGAGTGTATTGTCACTCTGAATCTTTATTCTGAGATCTAACGGTCTCACTGGGCTCCTTTATTTCTATATCAGATGGGTAAATCAATGGAAGGGAATTGGCTATTTTATTGTTATTGAGTGAATGAATGAGTGAGTTGGGTTTAACGCCGCTTTTAACATTATTCCAGTTATATCACGGCGTGCCAGATTAATGTGGTAGGAAAACCCGAAGTTATGCATGTCTCAGACGTTTACCACTTCGGTGAAACCCACGAGCACGGGTATGGTGCTGACGAACCTAGAAACCGGGATTCGAAACCACAATCATAGGTTTCTGGCGTGCCCAAGGGACGCAACTCTGCACAGCGAATCGCGGCGCCTTAGACGGCTGGGCCAACCGTGCCCCCTATTGTTATTGAACGATATCAGATCATCGATATACCTGAAGCTTAAGTTAAACTTTTTGGCCAAATTACCTTGTTTTGACTTTGCCAATCCGAACAGAAATTCCGATTATACATATGCATAAAGAAACAGATCTGCAAGAAGGGTGGCACAATTGGTGCCCATGGGGATGCCTACTTCTTACCAAAATGTCTTACCCCAAAGTTTTACGTAGATGTTATCAATGATAATAAGTCCAGCATTTCACATATTGCTTTCTCAGTAAACTTTAGATGGCATTTTCTTTCATTTTTCACAAATTGTCCTGAACCTCTGAATATAGATACATAACGCATCTTTGTTAACCACGTTTTATAACAAAAAACCCATGGAACAAGGAATGAAGTTTTTCCTTAAGTTTGTCATGTGGGATAGTGGTGTACAAAGTTGAAAAATCAAATGTTTTGACAGAATGGAGCTTGGTTCTTTTCTGCGATTGCTAAAGGTCAAGCAAATCTTAAAGGTCAAGCAAATACTTTCAGTGAATATAAAGAAAGTCCTTCCTTGATTGTATTAAGGATGATAGTCAGTCTTTGAGACAGGGATTTGGTGGTACATTCGCTGGACCCGGCAATATATCTCCCTTTGTACGGAGTTTTGTGGAGCTTTGGAATCCAGTACAAATGAGGATGGACATGTCTTCAGGTTTTAGAGTCAAGTCAAAAGTTGACAATACTGATTTATGGTTTGGGTAGATTTCATACTGGCGTCATATGTTGCATTATTTGACATATCACTTATACCAAGTTCTTTGATCAAATAATTAATGTGGTGATGATTACTTACTTGGTTATATTATCCGAGGCCTTGTCAGTGGGAACAACTACAAACTCTTCATGTAGGGCAGTCAGACTTTGGATGACAGCTGGCTGGGACAGAATGGGTTGATTCCAATTCTGCATCCTCTTTTTAAGTTTGTGCATTCTACCAATGACAACATCACACACTGACTTAACCCACTCTGACATGCATTCAACATTCAAGAAATGCCGGTCAAACAAAATATACAATATGACAATATCTTA